AAGCAGAGAATGACTGCAAAGTTGGCTCCAGCTTCTCTTCAGCTAAGCATTGCCGCATGGAAACAATTATGCAGGAGTGGTATGCCTGATTGCATGAAATGTTTCAACATTCACCGATTCATTTTAATTTGATTGAAATTTTGTAACTAATGATCTTTATTGGACTTGTCCAGTGCATGCACTGTCGACTCTGCTGCACAACAATGGAAAAAATCCCATGCTGCAGTTAATGATTTGTGCACAAAACAAGTGGCTGAAGTTGAAGTACTTGTCAGGCAAGTAGATTTGTTCTCATTACTTTCGTTTTTTGCTTACATGTAGCCTGTTTTGTTCAGTTAGATTTTGGTTTTCTCGGATTTCGCTGTAATAGATAGGTCAACTTGCTTTAGCACTCTTCATGCTGGTTTGATCTAAGTTAGCTTGAATTAAGGCAATTTGGGTGCCAATTTGACATGTCAGTGCATAATTTTGGATAAAAAAAGCACACCTCTGAATTTCTCAAAACCATGTCTTGTGTTAATCGCATATTTTCAACATGGGGGTCTAATTAGCTTTGCTGTCTGGATATTTCAGGGGTGCAATCGAAAACAACGAGCAGCATGAAGCAGAGATTGCATCATCTCGCGCCTTGGCTGAAGAGCAAGCATCCAACAGTAGCAAAGAAATACTCCAGGATATCGACAGTAATTTCTAAGCGCTCAACATGGCTGCTTATTCAATAAGATAGAGCTCCCCATCTAATCTCGACTTGCTTTTGTGTGTCCCCCTTTGCCTCAGATCTACTGGAAGAGGCACGTAATTCTGCATCAAGAGTTGTGTCGACAGTGGAAGCGCATTCGGTAGAGATACAGCATTTGCAGGAGAACCACTCTGGGCAGACTTCAGGCGTCAACACACATGCCGAGAGGGCTTTCCAAAGCAGCTACAGGGTGAGATGAAAATCCTGTGAAGAACCGTCCTCTTTCCCCAGTGCCCCAAGTCCAGTGTGTATTGTTGTTATCTTGTCTGAACTCCCCTACCATGCTGTTTTTTGCAGGACTATCAGCCGACTGGCGAAACTCCGATGAGGTCTGAGCCGGAAGTCCCGAGCAAAGGCACGATCGAGTCGTTGCGAGCGATGCCAATTGAGTCCCTGATGGATGAGTTCCGTGAGAACCATCCCTATGAATCGAGCAAGGAGCCCAAGCCGTCGCTCATCCCTCGCTCGCCACTCGCGACACTCAACTGATGTACTTTTCTGTGTGCAGTGTAATCTTATTAGGACATCAAATCGCTGCTCGCATTGATATCCTTGTTGTGCTATGTTTTGTGGGATGCGAGCTATCTTAGCCCTCACCCATTTTTCACATTCCTGCTAGAATGTAGTATCAATTTGTTGTGTGATAATGTGGAGCCGCAGAGTATTCTTGTCAAAAATTCTATGATGGGACATTGGAACTTGAGAGATTGCATTGCATTTCATTGCTTGGAATTGGGAGAGATTGCATTGCATTTCATCGCACAAACAGACGAATAAGGTTTCCAGAGAGGGTTCAGGTGGTGATGATACACATAGCAGCTAACTGAGGTCAGGTTAGGTAGAGCTGCATCTCGGAGCGGTTGTCCTGCTCGACGACCTCGAGGAAGACGGGGTCGACGACGATGTGGCTGTCGATGCGGACGGAGAAGCGGCGCGACCAGAGCAGCACGGTGGCCTCGCCCGCGATCTCCACGACGGCGTCCAGCTCCATGTGCCGGCGCGCGGTGTCGGCGAGGATGGCGCCGGCGTGGTGCGCGAGCTCCATGGCGTCGAGCCGGGCCGGGAGGTGGAGCAGGCGGCACGATGTGGCGGGCTGCTGGCCGGCGTCGAGGCGCGCGGTGCCCAGGAGCGTGCCCCCGTAGAGGATGGAGACGTTGGAGGCGCCGTAGCGCACGGGCACCACGTTGGGGTTGGTGGCGTGGACGGTGAGGGTGAGGCCGATGTCCAGCGCCGCTGGCGGCCGGAAGTGGAAGGTGGACAGGTTCATGGAGATGAGCTCGAAGCTCGGGTCCCTCGGCCTGCAGACCAGCACGCCCGCCGCGGCCGCCGTGGTGACGGCGCCGGCGAGGGCGGAGCCCCAGCTCCACTGCCGGGGGGACGACCTCGACGGCGCGGACCCCATGGGTGAGGTCTGGATTTGGTTTCCTTCCATCTCCATGAGCCCTGCGCTGTTTTTTTTACTCCCGAGCAGGAATGAATCAGGCTCTTGGCGTGTTAGGCTGTTGGGCCATTGGGTGCTGGTGGTCTTTTGGATGCAGTGGGCTCTTCACTTCCAGTGGTGGCGTGTCCCACTGGAAACGTCCAAAACGTAGGCGAAGGTTGAGAGCTGGGCTGGTACGCTAACATTTTGTCACTATTGGGCCCACGAGGAACGGGTAGATCGACTTCTCTCGAGGGAATCTCAAGGTTCTGATTGTTACGTTCAAAAAAAGAAAGATTGTTACACTAGTGTTACTCAAAAAAAAAAAAGATTGTTAAGCTAGTTGAATGTAATCGTTGTCTCAAAAAAAAAAAGTTGAATGTAAATCGGAACTAACAAGCAGAAGGAAAATGCTTAAATTTGACCGACTGATTTTAGGACGCTCGTAAGCCGCCTCGTTCTTTTGACGCGTGTCCGCGTGGCCCCGCTGCTAGCCCTGCTACTAGTAGAGTACTTGGTCAATTCCCACCGCAGAAACCTTTATCCCACCATCTCGTTATTCTTCCTCTCGTCCCCACATGCTCAGCCAACGCTGCTTCAAAGTTGTGGGTGCAGTAGCTCATGGTGTCGCGCTGCCGCTGCTACCGGGAGTCCGGCAGTTCTGGCCGGCAGCGGATGCTACAAGGCAGTGCTTGCTCGTGGTACCACATGATCAGGCTGCAACCGATGGGGTTACGCGGCAATGCTGCAATGATGGGGCCGTCGGGCTCCGTCTGTGCATCAAGCGAGCGATGGCCGATGGGTGATACAACCAATGGAGTTCACTGGGTTTGCATCATCATCCTTACTACAAGGACTCACAGGTGCTCCAATGAGTACTATGCACGATGGACCTGTAATGGAGCATGCCGGTGCTGGTGCTGCGATGGAGCATTCGTCGGACCGTAGCAACATCGCCAACGCTGGAATGAAGGATCACCGGTGCTACAATGGAGCATCGTTGGGCTGCCGCAACATTCGAGGTGTTGCGAGGAAGCACATGTCGGACCGCCGAAATATCGCTGACGCCGCGGGGGAGCACACAGATGCTACCATGGAGCATCCTCGGGCTGCAGAAACATCACCAGTCTGCCACGAAGCATGGTTGAGCCGTCAAAGCATTGTCAGGCCGCCGAAACATTGTCGGTGCTGAGCATGGCTGAGCCGACAGAGCATCACCGACACTGCAATGGAGCATTGGCGGGTGGCCGAAGCATCACCAGTGCTGCAATGGAGCATCGTCGTGCTACCGGAACATCCCGGGTGCCGCGATAAAGAATTCGTCGAACCACCGAAACATCAATGGCGCAGCGAGGGCACATCATCGGCGCTACGATGGAGCACCATCGGGCCGCGGGCCGCCGAAACATCGCCGGTGCTGCAACGGAGCATGGCTGAGCCGTCGGAGCATCACCGACATTGCAGTGGAGCATAGCTAGGTGGCTGGAGCATCGCCGGTGC